GTTTACTTATAGGCTTATAATTTCATAAACCACATGAGTACTACAAATCTGAACTCCAAACCAATGTAGGTACACATTCTTAGTGGAAATTTGTTGACTGTATCTTTTATCTATTTATTTTTGCTTTTTCACTGTTTTGTTTGTATGTTATAAATATTTAGATGTTTTGGAGCAATGCATGCTGGGATTAAGTTTCTTTGATATCTAGTTGTACAAGAAACATTCATGTGAATAGCATGGTTCATCACACTCTGCTTTTTCTGAGCTTTCTTTTTCCTTTTATTTATATTTCCTCATATGAGTATTTTGTTGGCTTTAGTTCTATAATAATTTAGAAGTCATACCATTTTTTGCTCTGATTACTTAATAATTTAACACTTTTCATTAATAGATGTTGTTCTTGGAAAATTTCACACATGTATATATTTGTACATACGTGTACATAATTGTTTTCCCCAACCCTCTCTTACTTCACCTTACCCCTATGAGCTTGCCCCCACTTCTTTAAAAACCACTTTCTCATGTTCACTATTTTTTGTATTATTTTGTGTCCCACAGAGTTTAACGAGGCCACCTGTATGACCCTGGGGTTAGAACTATCCACTGGAGCCTAGTGGACTCACCAGTGAGTACACAACTGGGTAATTGCCTTGCACTCTCCAAGAATCTGTTAGTTGCCAGTAGATCAGTAGTAGGTGATAGGGCCATGTAAGCCTCCTCCCCTTTCACAGCTAACTGTTACATGGGCCCTCACGTTTGGGCCTACTGCTAGTAGGCACAGCTGCTATGGGTTCATGATAAATTTACTATAATGTAAACTTCACCTGAAGTATTCTACATCAGTGCTGCAATGCCATCTATTGATTTTATCCCATGAAAAGTGAGGAATGAGCAGGTTTTACTTCCTCTCCTCTGGTCACCAGCCTTACTACACCTGTTAGTGGTTGGAGGTCAGGAAGAATGGGAATGAAACAGTATCTTCTGGACATGACACAACTGTTGCACTTTTGAACTCATAGCACTTGTGACTGCCTGTACAAGACCTGCACAAGATCAAACCAGTAAACATTCCAGCAAGGATGGAGGAGGGCCATATGAGTCACTACCCTTAGATGAGGAATGATTGATGGTTGATGGCTGCTAGGGGAGGGAGAGTCAGTTTTCTTTAGGGGGGTCTGATCCCTGTTAGGTTGTTCATGTACCAGTGGATAGCCACACACCCAAGTGCATCTGAGCAGCCCTACTTGGACTTTGTGTGTTATAGGGAAAATGACAAGGACATGAAGTTGGGAGGGGGTGGTGGAGAGCTATCTAGGAAGAGTTGGAGGTGGTGAGCAAGGGGTGAATATGATTGAAATACATTGCATGTGTGCATGAAATTCTCAAAGAATAACTAAAAACGGTATATTCAAAAATGAATAAAAAATCTGGGAGCATATTTGCACCCACCTTTGTCACCTTATGCAGCTATTTGATATTTCTAAATGTTAGTTTGTTTCATAGAAAAATAAGGAGAGTAACAGCATGTACTTCTCACATCTGTTAGAATTACAGAGGATAATGATACGAAATTCTCAGCACATGTTGGGGGCTAAGGCAGTAGGTTTACATTAGTTCAAGGCCACTCTGGGTTATATAGTGGCTTCTAATCCTGCCTAGACTGTAAACTAAGACCCTGTCTCATAAAACTACATAACTAACTGACTGATGACTGACTGACTGACTAAAATAATCTGGATTCTTGGGTCCAATTTGGCATTAATAAACACTGTGTACTCCCTTCAAAGAATTATTTTTTTATATTTACATAAATTTTTTGCAGCTTTTGATTAACTAATATCGATGGGTTAATAGTTTCAGTTCTTACTGTTTCATTTTTCCATAATTGCCTCATTTTTGTGATCTGTGTTCTAATTAATCTCTTACTTGAATGGTGAATTGTTCCCTGAGAGTTTGCATCTGAGAAAAGGCCCTCCTGCTGCCAATGCACATGACCAAACATTTGGCTGAGTATAGGACTTTTCAGTGGTTAACATAGTTTGCTCAAAAACAAAACAAAATAAAAAACCTATTTCCCCCAGATACTTAGTCATGGAGGAATAATTGTGTTTTCAACATTTAAACAATCATAGTTATTAAACCAAAGTATTAGGAAAGGCATCCAGTTGTCCCTTGGGTAAATGAGGGCAATAGAACCTTACATACTTCAGACAGGACCTTTGCTTGCTTGAACTTCTTCCACCTTATCCTCTGTGAAAGAAGCAAGCCCACAGCTGAGAGAAGCCAGGACTCCACTGGGGCTTCCCACTTCAGCAGCCTCATCTATCCTTCTCTGCTTGATTTGAACGGTCCCTGCCAGCAGCGAATCCTGCAACCTTCCAATTTTATCAGTAGAACACAAAACAGTATGTTCCAAAGCAACCCAACTGGCATGCCCTCTTAATGACTGCAAGTACTTGTCTTCCATAATGAAAATGATTCTATTCTTCACCCATAGACTTACAAATTCAGGTGAATTTCTGAATCTCAACATTGTTCTTCATAAGAAAAGCTGTGTGGCTCAGGCTCTAAAGTTTTGCTCTCATCAGCACTAATCAAATACCTCTTAGCATAAAAGCCACTTCTATAGATCCATTCCACACCTACCACATCACTCTGTGGGAATGACCAGAGCACACTGTGGCTTTCAAGGCCACCTGCCTTTGTGAAGGATATTAAACAAACCTCTTACAAGAAAGTAAATTTATTCTCCTTAAGATACTGGTGATGACAATGTTCATTATATTGAACAGTAAAGTTGCCTTAATATGAGTTTTGAGGCCAGTTATTTTCCTAAGCTAGGGAACTTTAGATCTTGCTCTTATGTATATCCTAATCTCCCAAATTAGACTATTGTTTTGTAACACAGTATCATCAGTAACTGAATTCTGCTCTAACGTGGCTACATTTTCCCCAACATGTCAGCACTCTGTCTCCACCAGTTCTCCTAGGCATTTGGATGCAGTTCCACAACTCCACCTCCTGGGTCAGAGTGACCTCCATGTGGTCCTGGAGGGACTGCCCTTATGTAGTACTTCCTAGTCTACTACTTTCCAGGCATCACTTGCTCATTACTTCATTCAGCATCAGGACATTTCCTTCCAGAGCTTTCCCAGACACTCTGGTAATCTTTATTGAGCGTCTGTGTTCCTAAGAACCTATATTCTAAATCCAAATTATTTCTACCATCTACCAAAGCACCTCCTACAGGTTGATTTGTTTTTAGCAAAACTTACTTAATTCTCAGTTCCTCAGGAATTGAGAATGAGTGACTGAAGTCTGATGAAGCTACAAGAAAATTATTTGCAAAGTTCTCTATCAAAAATAACCTGATAATAAGAGGGGAAAATCTTATTTTTTTTATATTTATAAAAATTTTGGGAGGAAGCCGGGCATGTTGGAGCACGCCTATAGTCCCAGCACTTGAGAAGCAGAGGCAGGCGGATCTCTGTGAGTTCAAGGCCAGCCTGGTCTACATAGTGAGTTCCAGGACAGCTGGGGCTACAGGGAGACCCTGTCTCAAAAAGACAAAAAAAAAAAAAAAAAAAAAAAAAAAAAAATTGGGGGGCGGTGGTACATGCCAAGGCATGGTCATCAGATCCAACATTATATGGTATGGGATAGAGGCCATCTTAGTTTTAACTAATGGAATTTTATTATCAGGTAACTTGAATAAGCACTAAAAATCTACCCTATTTGACCAGTGAGATGTCTTAGCAGGTAAACGTGCTTGCTGCCTGTCCTGATGACCTGAGTTCAATCTCTGGAACCCACATGGTGGAAGGAGAGAACCAACTCCTGCAAGTTGTCCTCTGACTAGCAGAAAATGCAAAGCAAATGCCTAATTGCAAGCAAGTTACTTAGGATCTGGGTGTGGTGGTCCACATCTGTCATCCCAGCACTGAGGGTAGGGACCGTAAGTTTGAGTCACCCAGAGTACATAGCTAGACTTGGTAGCCAAACAAACAGACAAGTCAAACATTTGCTTTGCATTTTCTGCCAGTCATATTCATGAAGAAACTCATAAGCGTAGAGTCCCTCACCCAAGAGCTGCACATAGGAACAGGAGCCACCAAAGAATGACGTTTGCCTTTTATGCATTTAAGTTAGCAGTGTTTCTACATGATTTTCTAGTCAGTATGAATTTATTCTTAAAACAATTGTTTTTTATTATAACTCATGAAATGACTATAAAATCTAAGAAGGATAAAATCCTTAAGAAATTCTTAAGGGGCTAGAGAGATGGCTCAGTGGTTAAGAACACCGGCTGTTCTTGAAGATGAACTGGGTTTGATCCAGCACCCATATGGCTGCTAACTTCAGTTCCTGGGGATCCAAAGCCCTCTCTGACCCCCGTGGACATTGCACATCATGGGTGCACTTACATATATGCAGGAAATATATTCATACACATAAAACAAAAAAATAATAAAATAGTTCTTTTAAAAAAAGAAATTTTCTCTAAATGTTTTCTTTACTTTCAAGAATATGGATTGACAATTTCTAATTTGAATCTGGCCAAAACAATTTGACCCTCCTTATAAACAATTTGTTTTGTTCTGTGGGTAATTACTTTATCTTCTTGAATCTTAGAATGATTTGAGTTTATATAGTGATTTTGTACATAGTCACTTATCAGTAACATTTATCAAATGATTATTTATAATCAAAACCTCTACCTTTCCATTTCATATCAGATCTTCAAGGTCAGGCAGGGTTACCTAACTATAGATGAGAAAAATGAGGCTCAGACAGTTCACCAATGACAAGTGCACTTCTAATATAAACATTTTAGATTGGTAAGGGAAAAACTCAATCATTATTATGGAAATTTTGAATTTGAGTATAGTGAAAAATTATGCAATGAAAAAATATTTTCTTTAAACAACCAGTAACAAGCATCCTTCTATTTCAAGTAATATGCATAACTTATAAATATTCAATAATTTAATCCCCCACCAGAAATTGTAATTCCATTTTATTAATAAGTAAACTGAGGCACAGAAAATTAAACAGAATATCTAACATAATTTGGTAAGTAGAAATGCTGAACTTAGGTGAGTTCCAGGGTCCAGGTAGCTGTCATCATGCAAAACAAAAATGAGGATAATATAGGCGAGTCTGTGCTCATCAATCACAGACAGTGAGGTTTCACTTTCCTTCACAGTGTCAAAGGCTTTGAATTGTGCATGTATCTCAGCTCAATAAGAGTAACTGAGCTTTATGCACTTTCATCCAGATAGAGCAAAGAGTGAAAAGACCAAACCCAAGCCAAGCTACAATGAATGCTTCTAGCACCTTCTCCTTTGGGAAAGATGTTTTTTGAGACTGCATTGATCATTTGTGAAACTGTGACAAAGCTGGGATATTTGACTGAAATAAATTCGTAGAACTAGTAAATCTGAAATAAAAACATACATATCTAGAAATTGTTTTCCAGGGCAAAATCTTTAAATCACCATAGTTTCATTAATGCTTACATTCATACATCTTCAGCATTAAAGTTGTTTATTTTTAAATAAGTGAAATAAACCCTTTCTGATGCAATTCACTATTAATTAAAGATGGCATTGGAAGTATGTTTATTTTATTGTATATCTCTGCTTTTCCTTAGGAATTTGTTTCTTAAAACACTTTATCAGTCAATGGCTGCCCCCTGTGGTAAGCTGAAGAGGCAGCAGTCATGTGTCTATAGTAAAGTATGCATGTGTTAAGGACAGCATACAAAACCAGCCCTTTAGCTGTTTCAGGAGGTATGACAGAGGCAATGGAGGAGCAGAGAGTGGGGAAGGGGGTAGAACCTGGATGCTCCATACTTCAAAGTAGTCATGCGCTGCAGGGCCTGACTGGCATGCTACTGGACATCTGTGACTGCAGATGGCAAAGCAACTGGCCCAGGGGAAAATCTCAGTAGTGTAGATAGTCTACCAACTTCCTTTGTATCTGACAGCTCATATTATTTCTTAAATTTCTTAGCTGGAAAATAAGTAAGCAAATTTGACTTCTTGAAGGCCAATGTCAATCAAATGGTTAAATACATATTTGTAGGAGAGTAGCTGTGCTTTGTGGGGAAAATTTAAACAGTGGCTTTGTATACTTCATATTTTACTTCATTTATAAATAGATTTTTAATTCCCACATAGAGATACATATATAGTTAAATGCAGTTATGTAGGCATCAAATACTTTGTTCAAAATATTTATGTTCAGGTGGTTTTTTTATTGAAACATTTTGTTGACACATTGCACATTTGTGAGCAGCTTCGGAACAATAAGAGACTAAGGAAAGTGAAGGAAAAACGTATCAATACTGACTCAATGAATCTGTTTCACCTCTATTCATTATTCATAATTCATTTTTCTACTGAGACAATACTTTAGGAAGGGTAGTGAGATTCTATTAACTTCAGTTTAGGAATGAGAGTTTAAATAGCCGATTTTAACTAAGTGTGATGGGAAGGAGTAGGCCAGCATGCCGCTCTGTGAAGCAAGGGAAGACAAATGTCAACCCAGCAGTTCAAAGTCTTGGATCTGTTCCCAGGTTTCACTCATCTGCTCCATGGGCTTGGATAATTTTCTTAACCTCTGTGAACAACAATTTCCACAGTCACAAAACAAGGTTGATGACATTACTGTGTAAGAAAACTTTGGGACACTTTACAATATAGTGCAGAGGCAGTAGATAAAAATAGAGGTTTTTCAGGAGCCGCCCCTCCTTAGAATTGTCTTATTAAGATAAGTGTTCTTAATTGGGGAGGACACACAGGCGTTCTTGGAGATGATGGGTATGTTTATTCCCTAACTGTAGTTAACAGTATTGTGATGCGTGCATAAGCCCAACCTAAATTACATTTTTAAAATTTTGTAAACATTTATCAGCTGTATTTCAACAAATCCATACATGTGTGTGTGTGTAGAGGGAGAAAGAGAGATGGAGAGAGACAGACAGAGAGAGAGAGAGAGACCCAGCAAGCTACATTACTAAGACTTACTTACAAGGTACTTGACATTCCAAAGGATAGTTCTGGGAGGTCCTCGACTCATCACAATAATGGGAGACAGACAGCTGTGCCTGCAGGAAACAGTTGGATAATTTCCCTCCCCATTCCACATGAACCTAATGTTTGTGGAAAAGTTTTGAAACACTTGATTCTCCCTGGGAGAAAATGAAATCATAGATGAGTGGAAAGAAACCACCTGACAATATCTTTCTCACCCTATTTGTCATACATGTAGAAGGCTCTGACATTTCCAAATATGAAAAATATTAAGGACTCTGATTAACCCAGGACTCCTCTTAAATATTTGACAATGAAACCTGGCCAGTCAGGCCATGTATCAAAATAAAGACATAAGAAAAGAAGAAGGTATAGCAAGTCCTGAATTTTGGTTGCAGAAAAAAATACAGATAAGCATCATAAATTTGATTATGTAAAAATACAACTTGAGAAATACTCAGAGCTAAAGGAAGTATAGGAAAAATATATTTCCAAATAAGAGTTCAATTTTCATTCAAAATTAAATGTAGAATTAACATTTAAATGTAACAGAAGGACTCAAACTAAAAGTAAACCATATGAAAACATAGACTTCTATATGGAAACTGTTAAGCAGAACGATGTGGGCTGTGTAGTAGGAAACTGTAGGCACTTTCTGTTTGAAAGTCCTCATGTGGGTCTGAGCACATGAAATGGAATGGATTGAGTTTTTGATTGTCAAGCCAAAAATATATAAAATTGCCACTTATTTATTTCAGTCCTATTTCTTTTTGGAATCCATAGATTGGGAGGCTCCCTCTGGTGGATGAACAAAATATAATATTATTTTAGTAATATACAGTTTTAAATAAAATAAAAGACTATCATTCAATTGAAATAAGTTCCTATAGAACATGAAAGGGTTTTTTTTTTTTCACGATGTGATATCCATCATGGTATGATGATTATTTTGATGACAATGATGGTGGCGATGATGATACGATGGATTCTATTCAACTCTGACTTATAGTGATTGCCACAAATATAGATGATGTGATGAAAACAACCTAGAAAAATAACGATTTAAGATAAGAGTAGTTAAAAACACATTTTTTGGTCTTTTTGAGACAGGGTCTCCCTGTAGTCCCAGGTGTCCTAGAACTCACTATGTAGACCAGCCTGCCCTTGAACTCACAGAGATCCACCTGCCTCTGCCTCCCGAGTGCTGGGATTAAAGGCGTGCTCCACCATGCCAGGCTTAAAAACACATTTTAATGGACAAATTTTTAAAAAATGAAATCCAAAAAACATTCTGAGATACACAAACATGGCAAATTAAAAAAAAGTATCAAGAACTAGTATCAAGTGACTAGTGACATTTTCATTATTATAAACAATATTTTGTATTGACAACTTTATTACTTAGACCTTTTTTTTTTCCTATGAACTCAAAGCAAAGATAGAATTGCTTTCATAGAGAAATGATCCCTTGAGGGATTTTTGTTAGAATTTATTTTTTCACCTTTCCTTTCGAATTCCCATCAAATAATGGGTCTTGCTTCTCTCCTTTGCACTGAACAGCAACAGACTATTATGTGGCTAATTTCCTCTAGCACATGGAGTAAAAGCTTTGTTTCCTGGAACACTGAGTGGATCTGAAAGCTCCCTTACGGTAAGGTAAGGGCACATCAGAAATTCCTGCCCTCAACAGGGCTTTTTATCAAGTATTGTTTTCTTGACGGATGCCGTAAGCAGCATTAAAGGTATGATCAGGGGGCTGGAGAGATGGCACAGTGGTTAAGAGCCTGGGTTCCAGTCCCAGTATCCACATGGTGGCTAACAACCACCTGTAACTCCAATTCCAAGGGATACAACACCCTCTTCTAGCCTCTGTGGGTTTACACAAATATGCTATACTTACATAATGCAGGCAAAACACTCATACACATAAAAATCAACCAAAAAATGTTCAAGTGGGGTCAGATAGTGTCCTCACAGCAGAGTAAAAAGAAGGCCGATGGTTCTTGTTTTCAGAAATCTTTTGAACTGTGAAGACTCTTCTGTCTACCTCACCGTTCGTCTCATTCGTTTGCTAAGAGCTGGTTCACTGATGGCAAAAAGAAAGAAAAAGAGACAGAAATACAGTTTCAGCCCCAGTCCCCAACCCTCAAATGGTACCCTTGGTGGTTTCCATTTGCCAACCATGGCTTCTTGGTGTGTTCTGAGAGTACTAAGCAGAAGGACATACTCCAGGGATGTATTTCCCAGCCCTAACATCTGCTGGAGAAAGCCTTGTATAACTATGTAGAAGGTATGCACTTAAGTAGATCGGATCTTTTCTTCAGAACCCTGCCATGGCTGCTGGGTGAAGCATTGCATACTCCCATCATACAGGAAAGGATGTAGTAACAGCTCAAGCCCTAGACTGACCTCTCTCTGCACAGGATATGATTGCTTCTTGGAAAGCTGATTCCTACTCTTTATTATGCCCACTACTTCCACTGACTCACATAGGATGTCCTGTAGGACCTGAAGGATTTCTGGACCCAGTTTCATGTGTCTGACTCCAGAGAACATAAGTAGCCTTGTAAGGCGGGTCCTACTTTGCCTTCTTCTCTAGGAATCATTAGCTATCTAGGTATTAACCTTCCCATTATGACATGAATCATAGTTCAAAGACATTTAGGACTGTGGACAGTACTGATTAGTATATATACTTTCAGTCTACAAATGAGACTCAGTACTCCAGTTACTGCTATTCCCCCTTGAGGACCTTCTACTGAGGGAATTGTGACATCAAGGTCAGTGTTCCTAGTCTTGGCTCTGGTTCACTCACATCCTATCTTCTAACAAGATTCCAACAGGCCTAATGCCAAAGTGCCAGTTTTACACATAGTAATTTAAGGTTAGAACTCTTTAGTTCTTTCCACAACAAAAACGTTGAGAACAAATAAGAGGAACCTTTAAGTGTGAACGAACCTCCCAGCTTGTCCCAGCTTTCCCTGCAACAAGTCTGTGCCTGGGCCTTCTAAGTTGCTTGGTGAATTCCTTTGAAACTTAGGTGCCAGAAGCCATGTCCCCACAGTTTCTTATGCTCTGTATGCTTGCCAAATCGGTATTGTGGAATTTCTGCCAGTGTTTACTATTTGTGTCCTCTGGAAAAGCGAAAGCTGAATCTGAGGCTTCATGAGCCACAAAAACTGCAGCTAAGGACAACTGCCCTAGGCCACACACTAGGCAGCAGGCCCACAAGAGCACCCAGGCTCCTCTTCTGAAGCCATTCTGCCCTCCAAGCTCTCTGAGCCTCTCAAGGTAAAGGCAGCTTTGAAGACCTCTGAAATGCATGCAGGGTTATTCTTCTGCTGCCTTAATGAATAACACCTAGCTTCTTTTCACATGTGCTCATTTATCAAAGGGTTACTTGGCTACATCTCACCTCTCTGTTTTCTTTCAATGAATAACACCTAGCTTCCTTTCACATGTGCTCATTTATCAAAGGGTTACTTGGCTACATCTCACCTCTCTTTCTGTTTTCTTTCGAGTATAAACTTCATATTTAAATTATTTCTCTTTTCTCTCACTTTACGCAATTAAAAGATGTCTCCCACAGCTCTTTGAATATTCTGCTTAGAAGTTTCTTCCACTAAATAGCTTATCTCATTAGTCATAAATTCTGCTTCCTTAAAGCCTTCAGAATGGACATCATTCAATCTTTTTTGCTACTTTATAACAAGGATAGACTTTACTGCAGTTTCCAATACTGTTCATCGTTTCTGGCTAATTCCATCAGAGTGGCCTCAATGGCCTTCATAGTTCTTCCAGTATTACATAATATTGAGGAAATATACTATTTCCCCTGTGGCTATTCACCTTTCCTAAGACTTTGCCAGGAGTTCTTTTAAGGGCTCTCTGCCAATATAAGCCCTTTCTAATTTCCTTTCCAAACTCTTCCAAATTCTGCCTACTCCTAAGTTCCAAAGCTACCTCCACATTTTATGCATTTATTACATAGCACCTCACTTCTCTGATATCAACTTGCTGTCTTTGTTTTGTGCTGCTGTAACAGAATAACAGATTAGAAAACATAGAAAGAATATAAATTTGTTATAGTTCTGGGTGCTGGGAATCCAATGCCAAGAATTCTGATGATGGCTGGCTTGGTACATCATTCCATGCTAGAAGAGGTCAGGGCAAAGTATACTTGTTCATAAGAGAAAGACTATAAGCCGGGTGTGGTAGCACATGCCTTTAATCTCAGCACTTGGGAGGCAGAGGCAGGCAGGGGTGGATCTCTGTGAGTTCGAGGCCAGCCTGGTCTACATACTGAGTTCCAGGCCAGTTGGGGCTACAGGGATACCCTGTCTCAAAAAAGACCAAAAATAAAAAATAAAAAGAGAAAAAGATGGAATGCAACCTGTTCTAAGGAGTCTGTTTCTCTGATGGCAAGACCACTCTGGTAATGAAGGAACAAATCCATTCAGGAAGTCAGGGCCCTCATGGCCTAATCACCTCTTTAAGGTTTCATTGTCAACATTATTGAGTAGGGGGTTAAGGTTTAAATACATGAACAGTGGGAGGACGTTCAACCTATAACATAAGCCAAACAGCAACAATACATTATCTGAAACAGTTTGCCTTTCTCTCCCATTTAAGAGACCATGCCAGAAGTCAAGTGAGTGGCAATATTATTGCCACTAAAACTTGTAACACAATATATTTTTAAAGTATTAGAAAAAATTATGTAATATCACAAACTTGGAAACAGGAAAGTTTAACATAGAGCACCATGAATCTTATCAGGTCCGTGTATTACAGGAACATGCTTTAAAAGTGTTGCTCTCTCGGGGCTGGAGAGATGACTCTGTGGTTAAGAGCACTGGTTGCCCTTGTAAATGACCTGGGTTTGATTCTCTGCACCCACGTGGTGGTTAGCAATCATCTACTATATATATTACAGTGCATTAAATTTGGTGGATGTAGTAAGGAGAGGTATGGAAAGAGCTGGGGATCTAAACACTATGAAATTATATTGCATGAAAATTGCAAAATTTTAATTTAAAAAAGACATTTAAAAAATGTTGGTCTCAGCCAGGTGTGGTAGTCCAAGCCTTTAATCTCAGCACTCAGCACTCGGGAGGCAGATGTGAGTGAATTTCTGTGAGATTGAAGCAGCCTGGGATAGTCTACATAGTGAGTTCCAGGCCAGCTGGGGCCATTTTGTGAGACCCTGTCTAAAAACTAAGAGACAATAAAACAAAACAAAACAAAACAAACAAACAAACAAAATCCTCACAAACTGTTGGCTTATGTGTTCGTCAATAAAATGAGGTAATAAAAGCGAGGTGACCCAACAGGATGTTATAAAAGGAGGTAAAGCCCCTGAAACATACCAGACTCACTATGCCCCTCCTTCCCTAAGCATACATAAGCCCTAAGGAATATAAGACACTAAGACACTCAGAGAAGCTGAGCTGTCTAGAAGAGGCTAGGTCAGTCAAGCACCTTGGAAAAAGCAGACAACAGGGGAGATGCATGGGAAAGGCAGAGCCCAGAACAGCTGTCTGGAAGAGGCTCAGGCCCACTGAGCCGCTCAGAAGAGATACTCTCCAACCTGTAGAGCAGCCTGCAAGTTGTGCATTATGCTCCAAGTTTCTAAGTTTTATGAGCTGTCACCCCTGCTGGGATGGGAATTTGGTGACACAGCTGTCTTTGGGGCATTTCTGCTCCTGTAACTAACCCCTCACCCATACTCTTGTAAGTATGGGTATAAGGATTCCCATAAAACTCATTGGTTTATCAATGACTTTTGATGGTATCCTTAACTTGGTCTGTCATTGGATCTCTATCTGGGGTGAGCAGATGTTTGTTTACATCTCCCCAGATACAGTGTCACACAACATTGCCCATTTGTTGTTCCTTTCAAACATATTAGGGAAATGTGTGACACTGTGTCTGGGAACCATGGAAGGGAGAGAGAGAAAGGAATACTTTTTATGCTTAACTTTGTAAGAAGACCTATTCTGTCTTCTTAATTGCTTTACTTACAAACAATTAGAAAGTGATACTCTTTTATCAATATTTTCCATAGCCTAGTTTAATAGCTTATTTTTCATTTGTGATGCTTTACAGAAAACACTAAAGGTATTGAATGCAAATAAGCTCTGGGGAAATGCTTTATAAAATTGTTATTTTCTTTTGCATACTGGTGGTGCTGAAAAGTCCTTCAGCAAAAAATCTTGAATCAGGTCTAAGTTATATACTGTAGAAATGCTACATGAAGTGGAAATCATCTTGTCATCAGGTATCAGGTGTTCACAGATGTTGTGCTCAATGGAGTCCATTCACAAGAAAAAAAACTTCAGTGACTTCTTGTGAAAACCACCTCTAAAATCTTCTTAGAAACTGCCATATATATCAAAGATAAAACCGAAAAGAAACACAACTGAGAAAGAAAATGCTTGTCAATTCTGAAACAAGTAAATATTACCAACAATACATGGCAAATTTTGGTAGGGATTATTGACAAATACAGTAATTTGGATCAGTATAAATAAAAACACTAAAAAAATGACATACATCCCCTTTCCTGAAAATTTCCAGTTTCTAAGAAAATAAGTAAAGCAAATTCAGAGTCTCACAAAAGATGAGTCATTGGCAATAGCGTTGAGTACAGGCAGTCTTGAGAAAGAAGGGTTTCTGCCATGGACTGTCCCTGCCCCAAGCTAAGTAAACATGGAAACATGGAAGCCTCTTCTCAGCATTCTTCAGTCTGTTGTCAGTGTTTGTTCAATAGGCTTACTCGTTTTAATTATAGCTATTAACATATACACATATATTAATTTTATAAATTAATAGATTCCACTATAGATCTCTTCCCTCTTTCCCTCCCTCCTTCTTCTCCCCTCGTCTTTTCTCCTCTTTTTCTCTCTCCAAGGTGTTACTTTAAGTCAGATTGAAACTCTCTATGTAGCTCAGGCTGTCCTAGAACTGTAGCTCCTTCTGGATTACTAGTATGCATCATCACACATAGATCTGCTTTTCTTTAAAGCTACATACTTTCTCCCTCATGACAGTGGCAAAAGAATCCATATAGTCTGGGAGGTGAGA